CATCCCTCCCTCCCTCCATCCACTCCCTCCCTCCATCCATCCATCCATCCATCCATCCATACATCCATCCTTCCCCTCCCTCCCTCCCTCCATCCATCCATCCATCCATCCATCCTTCCCCTCCCTCCCTCCATCCATCCCCTCCATCCATCCATCCATCCCCTCCCTCCATCCATCCATCCATCCCCTCCCTCCATCCCCTCCCTCCATCCATCCATCCATCCCCCCCCTCCATCCATCCATCCATCCCCTCCCTCCATCCATCCATCCATCCCCTCCCTCCATCCCCTCCCTCCATCCATCCATCCATCCCCCCCCCTCCATCCATCCATCCATCCCCCCCTCCATCCATCCATCCTTCCCCTTTCTCCCTCCATCCATCCAGAATTGAAGAAACAAATCAAGTTAAAAAAAAGTTAACTGGGTCAGAGTTAGGGTTATCAGCGAGTCGGTCCCTTCACTACCACCGACACACCTCCCCCCCCACCCCACCCCTACAGCCCATACACACACACACACCCTCAAATCATCCATCCTTCCATCCCTCCCTCCATCCTACCATCAATCCATCTCCATCCTCTCCTTCCCTGCCTCCCTCCCAAGTCTGCCTGCCTCTCCGTGCCTATCTCCCTCCGTGCCTGCCTCCCTCCCTGCCTCTCCCTCACACGCTGTGCCTGCCCACCTCCCTCCCAACCTCCCACTGATTTGTGGCAGACGTATCTTTGTAAATTAATTTAAAGGCTGAAGCGTGATTAGCTAGCTACATGTCGTAAAATCTCCTTATAGACATTTTCTGTGATAAAACAAGGTGAGTGAGGGTGGACAGATAAGGGAATACTGTTCTGTAAACCTCACTTGGTTTTCCTTCGTCTGTGTCGTTATAGTTCAGTGACCCATGACTTTGAAAGTTTCAGACTAATAAATCATTTCTAAAACCAATGCTTTAATAGCTTTTTGTTATCCTAATTAAACTAAACTAAATAAAACCGAAAATATACTGTAATATGATAGACATCTGCTATTTGAGAAATTATTTGTTATTGGAACAACTCCAGCGTGAGCGAGTGGACGGGTCTAATCCCTGTACACACAGCCATGCGTTTCTCGTTTCAATTCGTCGCCACAGTTCAGTGACTACGGCTTCGAAATAATAAAATTAATAAATCAGGTCTAAAATAAGTTTTTTATATCTCTTATTATCCTAATAATGTTACTAATCTAAATATATAACCTAAAAATATATAATATGATGTAAATCCAATATTTGAGATAAATTTATGTTACTGGATCTGGCTTAAACACCAGCCTACTGGAGGGTGTATAGACCTAGTCTGCGTTTATACAGTAGGCACTCAGTGCTGTTACATTTGTCTGCGTGCGAGTGACGTGTTTGTCCGCCAGTGAAAGAATAATCGTGGAATTTACCATTTTTTTGACTACAGCTTTATTAATATACAACAAGATGTCTCAAGGGCTTGCTAATCGTGCTGTATCTGCAAAGAGGAAGAGAAGTTTTTTATCCATTGAGCAGAAATTAGACATGATAGAGAAACATGAACGTGGCTACTCTGTTACTAGGCTGGCAGCAGAATTTAATGTCGGGAAAAGTACGGTGTGTGATATCAAGAGACAGAAAGATAATATTAGGAAGTTTCTTGCTTCGAGTGATAGTGGTGCATTAAATAAAAGGAAAACAATAAAAGGTTCTGCAAATACGAATTTGGATGAAGCTGTGTATAAATGGTTTAACCAGGAGCGCTCTGTGGGGATGCCACTTGGCGGCGACGCCATTAAGACAGCAGCCGATAAATTTGCACAAAAGATGAACATTCCAGATTTTCGAGCAAGTGAAGGATGGTTGCAAAGATTTAAGAATAGACATAATATTAAGAACAGGAAAGTTTGTGGAGAATCATTAAGTGCAGATACGGATTCAGTCGAGCCATTTAAGCGTAAATTAAATGATTACATAATAACAAATGATCTAAGGCGTTTTCAGGTATACAATGCCGATGAAACAGGCTTTAATTGGAAATGCTTGCAGAACAACACTTTGGCATCTAGGCTAGATGAGTGTGTTCCTGGCCGTAAGGTAAACAAAGAAAAAGTTTCTGCCATGCTGTGTGCAAATGCAGACGGAAGTCACAGAACAAAGTCCGCCATTGTGGGGAAGTCAAAAAACCCACGTGCTTTGAAAAATTTAATGAACAAGCTACCTGTGGTCTACTACAGCTCTAAAACAGCTTGGTTTACTGGAGATATTTTTGTAGACTGGTTCAAAAATCATTTTTGCAAAGAAGTTAGAGATTTTCAGATAAAGAAGTGTGGAGTGAGACGGAATGATGTCAAGGCATTACTCTTGGTTGACAATGCCCCAGCTCATGTAGGGCTCGACATATTAACGTCACATGATGGACGCATCAAATGTCTGGCCTTGCCTCCCAATACCACCTCTCTGATCCAGCCAATGGATATGGGTGTTATATATGCAATGAAAAGGCTCTACAAACGAGAAATGAATAAAGAAATCATGGTGGTGTTTGAGTCAGATGAAGACAAAAGACAAGGAACCGATTCGCGAGGTCAAGCAACACTGGAACGTTACCAAAAATACTCAATTAAGGAAGGCATTTACAACTGGGCTAAAGTTTGGGATGAAGTTCAAGAGTCAACATTAAGAAATTGTTGGAAAAAACTCCTGTTGCTTGATCATGCTGATGAAGTGACTGAGGAAGAAATGGATTTTGAAGGATTTTCAAATGATATTTATCAAGAACTGCGTGCCGCTGGTGAGACGGAGTTGACGCTGAACGATGTGGAGGAGTGGTTAGATATTGATGCAGTCGATCCACCCATTGGTCATTTAACAGATGATGAGATTATACAAAATGTTACTGGCACTGTTGACGACGATGGAAAGGAAGATGAGGATGAGAATGATAGCAGTTTACAATCTGCTACGTGTGCTAACGCATTGTTCTATGTTGAAAAACTCCTTGATATTGTTTCACAACCTGACAATCCAGAGCTACCAGGCTTTTATCAACACCTAAGGACGATGAAAGATATTTGTCTCAAGGACATGACACAAAGAAGGAAACAAATGAAAATGAGTCAATATTTTTCACGAACTAGCAGCAAATCAATCAGCACAGCCGTACCCAGCACCAGCACAGCCGTACCCAGCACCAGCACAGCTGTACCCAGCACCAGCACAGCCGTACCCAGCACCAGCACAAAAGCAGCTGAAGCCAACACAGCAGCAGCGAGCACCAGCAAAGCTGATGCAAACATCTAAAAACATCGTGTGTGAAGTGAACAATTAGAATAAGTGTTAAATTTAAGTGTGTACATAGTGTTAAAATTAAAGTTGCAATAATTCTAATGTACAATAGTTTTCAAGAGCTGTATTGTAGTACTCAACATACAGCAAAACCACTTTTAATAATACAGTGCTAACGGCTTAATGCACTGCAGTACCTATTTACTGTAGAGCATTCACAACTTCACAACACTTCAAGATGGACATAACTCCAACAATAAGGTAAATACATGAATTACAGTATTTTTAGTAGAGTAGTAAAATATAGGTACAGTAAGTAATATGATACAATGCATTTTTATTGTGTACAAGAAAAAAAAAAGACACTGACGCAAACGCCTCTTGAAGGTCACCTCTTGCAACGAATCCAACGCTCCAACGAACTGGGGGTGGTCCCATATAGTACGTTGAATCGAGGTTGTACTGTATGGATGTTTTTGGGAGTGGAACGGATTAAATTTATTTCCTTTATTTTAAATGGGGAAATTTGTTTCCAAAGACGAGTTTTCCAGGTAACGAGCTTGGTGCCAGAACGGATTAAACTCGTTAATAGAGGTTCCACTGTATATATATATTATATATATAAATAATATGCATGCCTGTGGGTGACATAGGCCAAATATCCCAGAGCAGCTTGGGGATTAAGGACTCATCTGTGAGAACAGTTCAAGGTAATGTACCTCAATATCATAATCCTGGAGGAGTAGTAGAATCAATGAAAACATGATCGCTACATTTAAGGTACTGAGGGGAATAAACAAGATGGTTAAGGGCAGCCTTTTTAAATTGAGAGAAAATGAGGCAAGAGGACATAGGTGGAAGCTGGAAAAGTAAACAACTCGAAGAAATGTAAGGAAGTACTCATACCCTGTACTGTACCAATAGTCAATAAGTGGAATGTCAGTGAAGTTGATGAAGCCATCATCATCCACAAATAATATCCAGATACGACAATGCTAGTTACTGTTTGGTAGATACTGTTATTTAAGTATGCAAATGACAGTTATAATACACCTACATAGACAAAAATGAATGTAATACATTAGTTTTTATTCTTTGAGGTACACGTTTCTTTTTCACTCCTATGGGTACAGATATGTCCCTGTAACATTGAAGGAATGTACGTGCTGTATACAATATGTAATGTTCTCTTTATAAAAAATTACTTTATTATTTGTAGGAAAATACTGAACAATTCATTAGATATATTGTATAACAGGTGTCTACATTACAGGTAAATGCAATCAAAGTTAACTGCCAGCACTGTATTGTTCACTTGGAATGAGCTGAACAACTATTTAAACAGTTTGTTTGGCTTGACAAAGATATAAGGTGTTATTGCGACCAAACCACACATTAAAAGTAGCAAAAACGACCTCGTTTTAGTTCGTATTGGACCATTACCAAGTTGTCATTATCACACACGACTTGATAATGGTCCAGGACGGACCAAAATATCATTTTTTTACCATCTTCCGATATGTAGTTTGGTCATCATATCTTCAACCACGTTATTGTGACTCATCATCTGCATATGTAAGATTTTATTGTAAGCTATAGGTGTAACTGAAAATTTCCAATATTTTTACTAGTGTTGAATGTCCATGCTAGTCCAGTGTGTGGCCAAGAGCCTAAAACTTGCTAAAAACCCTCTGTAAATTGGCTTTAACCTTTCCAGACCCAAGAAAAGGATGGAAAGCTCGTTTTTGACTGTCAGCATGGACCAGTGGAGTGCAAGGCCAACATGGTTCATGCGTGCGTAACAAATATTGTTAAGGATGAGGGAAAGCAGTTAGCAATTGTTCACTGCATGATAGAGAAAAATGATATGCCATTGAAAATTGGGCAGAAGGTAAGTTTATCAATTTAATAGGCCTATGGAGGTTGTAACACTACCAAGTCTTTTAGTTGCATTTTGTTGACATCTAATCAAAGGCTATTTATTGCTAAATACCTTTAGATAAATTTTAAGATAAATTTTTTTGTTCAACAGAACAAAATATTATTTTCAGTTACCCTTTAATTTGTTGTTTTGTTTTCAGTTTTGTACAGCACTAGGTGGGATACCCGGCGGTGCCTGGGTCAATCCAAGCACCCCAGATCTGTCTTGTGTTTTCCTGTCTAGCTGTTTCTGTCTGCCCCTCTCTGTGTCTGTCTTTAACCCCCCATCTCTCTCCCTCTCTCTCTCTCTCTCTCTCTCTCTCTCTCTCTCTCTCTCTCTCATATCCCCCTCTCTCTCTCTCTTTCCCCCCTCTGTCATTTCCTCTCTCACCTCGCCTTTTTCCACACACACCTCTCCTTCAATGCATTTCCCCCAATCCTACCTTCCTCTGTCCCCTTCCCCCCTTCTCTTTCCTTCCTGTTCTCCATCACTCCAATATTCTCTACCTTCTCCTTTCTGTACTCCCATTCTCTCCCCCATTCCCATTATCTAATCCCACTCCCATTCTCTCTCCCCTTCCCATTTTCCCTACCACCTCATTTTCTCTTCCTCCCATTTTAATTCCCGATTCTCTACATCCTACACACACTTCCACATTCCATCCTATTCTCCTTCCCTCCTGCTCTCACTCATCTCTTCCTCCATCCCTCCTGTTCCCGAGTAATAATATTAATTCAGTTCATTGTTTTTGAGTAAATCCAGAAAATGTGCAGTATACTCTGCAGAAAACAGATCTGCAATTTAATTTCAAACTTCATGAAAGTTAAATTGGGGAATGGAAGGGGTGGAGTTACAGGTTAATATTTCTTAAAGTAGAGTATTTAACAAAGGTCGACCACGACCAGCCTATGTCAGCCTATGCCTACCAGAGAGTTGGCGTAAAGTTGGCGGGAGACCTACCAGAGAGTTGGAAGACAGCTAACGTAGTCCCAATCTACAAAAAAGGGAATAGGCAAGAGGCCTTAAATTACAGGCTGGAGTCTTAAACTTGTATACCTTGCAGGGTGATGGAGAAGATCGTGAGAAAAAGTCTGGTGGCACATCTGGAGAGAATGGACTTTGTAACATGTCACCAGCATGGGTTCAGGGAAGGCAAGTCATGTCTCATAAGTTTAATTGGATTCTATGACCAAGCAACAAGCATTAAGTAAGAAAGAGAAGGATGGGCAGACTGCATTTTCTGGGACTGTCAGAGTACAGTACCCCATGAGAGACTGTTGCATAAGTTGGAGAAACAAGCTGGAGTAACTAGTAGGGTGCTCCATTGGATAAGGGAGTACCTGAGCAACAGGAAGCAGAGAGTTACTGTGAGGGGTGAGACCTCAGACTGGTTTGTTGTCACCAGCGGAGTCCCGCAGGGTTCTGTACTCGGACCTATCCTGTTTCTGATATACGTGAATGATCTTCCAGAAGGTATAGACTCGTTCCTCTCAATGATTCCTGATGATGCTAAAATTATGAGAAGGATTAAGTCATAGGGGGACAGCAAGAGGCTACAGCATGACCTGGACAGACGGAAGGAATGGTCCAACAAAGGGCTACTAGTTTAACTCGAGCAAGTGCAAAGTGAGGAAGCTAGGCGTAGGGAGCAGGATGCCAAACACAAGGTACCAGCTGGAAGAGGAAATCCTTCAGGAGTCAGGACGAGAGAAAGATCTTGGGGTTGATATCACACCAGACCTGTCCCCTGAAACCCACATCAAAAGGATAACATCAGCAGCATATGCAAGGCTGGCAAACATAAAAACTTTCTTCAGAAACCTATGTAAGGAATCATTCAGAACCTTGTATATCTCATATGTCAGACCAATACTGGAATATGTGGCTCCAGTGTGGAGTACACATCTAGTCAAACACAAAACGAAGTTAGAAAAGATTCAGAGGTAAGTATGCCACAAGGATAGTCCCTGTGCTAAGAGGAATGAGCGATGAGGAAAGATTACTGGAACTGTACCTCATGACACTGGAAGACAGAAGAGTTAGGGGAGATGTGATCACTACCTACAAAATTCTCAAGAGGAATTGACAGGGTAGATAAAGATAAACTGTTTAACACAGGTGGTGTGTGAACAAGGGGACACAGGTGCAAACCGAGTACCCAAATGAGCCACAGGGATGTTAGAAAGAACTTTTTCAGTGTCAGAGTTGTTAACAGATGGAATGCATTAGACAGTGATGTGGTGGAGGCTGACTCCATACACAGTTTCAAATGTAGATATGATAGAGCCCAGTAGGCTCAGGAATCTGTACATTAGTTGAGAGGTGGGACCAAAGGGCCAGAGCTCAACCCCCACAAACACAGCTAGGTGAGTACTGTAAAGTTGGGTTAGGCTAGCCTAAAGTGTCTGGCCTCCAACTTTGAACAGATATAGTCTCTCATATTGTTTATATAGTTTACAGTAGTGCCTCGAATGACGAATTTAATTCGTTCCAGCGCCGCCGTCGTCGTCATGTGAAACCGATGTCGTTCAAAACAAAGTTCCCCATTGAAAATAATTTAAATACAAATAATCCGTTCTACCACCGAAAAACATCAATATGATATTCAATGTTTTAAATAATGGAGCAGCCTATCTTACACTGAACAAACCTTTATGACATTTTTCTTTCTTCAAATTTGTTAATTTTTTTCATTTTTTGTATAGCAAAAGGTTTGTTCGGTGTTTGTCAGGTAGGCTGTTCCATGTTTCTTATAAACAAGAAAAAATGAAGAATTTTGAAAAACAGAACAAATGTCAAAGGTTCGTTCTGTGTTTGGCAGGTGGGCTGCTCCATGTTTCTTAAATAAAATAAAAAATAAAAAAACAGTTGAAACAATTTGAAAAACGGACAAAAGCCATAAAGGTTCTTTCAGTGTTTGTCAGGTAGTCTGCTCCATTATGACAATCTTTCTATGTTTCAAATGTGTTCCATTTGTTTTGTATTTTTCATTTATTTCTCAATAATGGAGCAGCAGCCTACCTGCCCAACACCAAACAAACCTTTTTGACATTTGTTCTTTCGTTAAAAAAGTTCATTTCGTTTTTTTACAAAAAGTCAATGCTTCACAACATTCCAGCATCAATAGCATCTTTAAACAAGGAAAAATAATTTATTTGCATCGTCGGAAGCGTCCGAGAATATGCGAGAAGCAGCCCCCGACCCCACCATGTGGTGTTGACGTTATTCAAATGAGCGGTCGCCTAACGAGACGAATTGTTGGCGATTGGGGCGTTCGTTACCCAAAATGGTCACCATTTGAGGCGGTCGTCACTCGAGGTTCTACTTTATATACTTAGACAGTTGATTAGAAATGTCTTAAATGACAAAAATGACACAACTCGACTAGAATACAATGCAAATCAATGTCTGGGAAATAAAGACCCATTTAAAAATTTTCTAAAATACCATCAAATTCCTTGGCAGTTATGATGTGTTGATTATATTTTGCAAATTGGAAACAACTACTACCTGGTATTAAGTTGCTAGAATCATATTTATAATTGTATAATGAAGACTCAAATTTCTTTTAATATACAGTACAATGTTTTTTGGGGGGAGCTCCTTGTGGCTCCCTGAAGCTATCTCACCGAGATGACTCCCTACTACTAGGTCACATTAGCCATGGAGTTCTTAGGACTACTGGGCACCAGAGCCAGAACCTGGTCCCATCAAAGAGGTGCAGGGAGCAGATGACTGTCAAACACCTTACCAGGGAAGGCATCCAGAAAATCAGTGAACCAAAACGGGCAACTGATGTGTGCCAAGGAGAGACGGGAGTCTCGCAACCTGTCTAATGAACTTCCTCAGCAATATTAACAAACGATCGAATCTCTCAATAACTAGCGTGAGAGCTCTGAACTACCCTACCTTCTCCAGTCAATTGGAAGGAGGGGAAGGGGCTCACCTCCTCCGGGGATCTGAGCTGTCAGTTCTTATGTTGATGCGATCACAACAAAACTGCTGTTGCCTCTGCTGTTTAGGCTACTCTGGTTTTTCAGCTAAGCATTTTTAGGTCTTTGCCCTTTGTGGCATTTCTGTGTACAGGGTATATGGTTACGTAGCATGAGCATTTAGTGTGCTTGGCCCGTGCACTGACAGAGTTCTCGTCTCTGGTGTTTTTGGGGTGTTGCTCCTTTAAAGGTCCTTCTTACTTGAGGCAGACCTCGCCTAGGGTGAGTCAGGGGTCTTGTGGTCCCCGTCTTCATCCAGGTTGGTAGCGACTTTGGCTAGTGGGGTACACTGGTAGCTTGCATGCTTAACATATACAGCACCCTGAATTCAACCTTGTCCATACCATATGATGCATGGGGTTCTTGCACACTTAACACTATCGCTCACCGGGCAGGTGCGTGGTCAACTTAGGGGTCATGCACCGAGCGTGCGGGTAAGCGCGCGGTGACACCTAAATGTGTATACTCGTTTCAGCTTTCTCACCTTAATTCTCGTGCTACGTCGCTCGTTTTGATATCATTGTGTTCGCAATTAAATTCCCTACAGGTGTGTATAAATATAATGTCCAAAAGCCTGGCGTGACTCTCAACAGCAAAGCCTAAATTCGGCAAAAGTTACCTGTGAGCGCACAAAATTGGTAAAATGTGCATACTCGTTTCAGTTTTCTCACCTTAATTCTTGTGCTGCGTCGTTCGTTTTGGTATCATTTATGTGTTCACAATTAAATTCCCTACAGGTGTGTATCAATATAATGTACAAAAGCCAGGCGTGCCTCCCCCGCAGGAAAGCCTAAAGTTACCTGTAAACGAGCACCAATTTGTACACCGCAACCTAATGTGTATACTTGTTCAGTTTGATAACATCAATTTTCGTGTTACGTCTTTCATTTTTGTATCAAATTGTTTGCAATAAAAAGGCGCGTATTTTAAAACTAGTCCCATAATAATAGAGCAATAACTGGAATTTTAACAAATATTTTAATTCTCTGCTCATAATCACAAAATTATTTATCTTTCCAGTGTTCTGACATAAATATTTTTGTTACATTTTTCAGTTTGGTATAAAATTGTTCGCAACATAAAGGCTCGCATTATAAAACTACTCCCAACATAATAGCACAATAAATAGAATTTTAACAAATATTTTAAAATTTTGACCAAAAACGTATTTACAATCTTTCAAGTGTTCGGACATCAAGTTTCATGTTACGTCTTTCATTTTGGTATCAAATTGTGTGCACTCTAATGGCTCTTATTTTGAAACTATCTCGAGGTCGATCGGATAAAAAATGAATTTTATACAAATACTTTTTGTAGTGGATGCAAGTCCGGTCCAAAGTTAGGACTCAGGAGAAAAATAATGGACGCAAGTCCTGTCCAAAGTTACCAATAGTGTTAAGTGGCTGGAGGTAGTGACTGTTTCAGGTGTTCCTGAGAGGAATTTCTTTTAAGTATCTCATTGACTGCTGTTTGCTCCTGGGTTTTAGACTTGGTGCAGTTCCATTCCTGTGTGCCCTTGTTATCAACAGTGCTCATGGTGGAGGACCTTCACTTTTCCTCACACTTGGTTTCTGTCATGCAGGTCCTGGTCCTCATTGATCTTAATTCTGATTGGCTCAGCTGGGATATTGAGGCGCTTGACTTGGGACAGCGAAGCTGTCTGCATCCAAAGGTTATGAACAGTAAACTGGGTGAATTGGAGTTCAAACAAGGAACAAAACTCGCAGGGCTCCAGGTTGAAGGTGTCACCGGCCCAACAGGCAGCATGACGGAGGCACAACCATTGAGTATCTTCCTGAGACAAGGGGACAGAGCAACCTTCAAACTCGCACGAAGCGAGAGGGGGACCCTGGGGTCGCATCCATCGAACCAAAGAGCTCCCGCGGGGGTTTCCGAGAGCCCTTAGTCGCATATCTCGCTAAAGGAAGCCTAGGCAGAGTACTGCTAACCGGCGCCAAAGATTACCAAGCAAACTTCTAAAGCTGAACCCCGGGATGTGTACATTCACAGGGGGCCTAGTGGAGGACAACCGAGATGGAAATGGGTGTGACTAAAACCAAGAGGCAGACCCCCCCACCAGGCAGGAACAAAAACAAAAGAAAAACCCCACAAGAGGACAACGTGCCCAGGTGGAACAGAGCCAGCCACAATGAGAGGTGAAAACTAGCTGCACAGCACCCTGCACTTCTACCAGTGACAAAACTACCCCCTACCCAGAGGCAAACAGTGGTGCATGAAATACCAAAGCTGGCTCCAAGGGCGGCCAATCTCCAAGCAGCAAAATACCCTGTGGAGGTAGACCCCCAAGGTGACTTGTGGAAGTTGGCCTAAACCCCAAATGGCAGTACTTACAGGGCACCTAGGGAAGAGGACCCTAGGCACATGCAGCCCGAGTACTTGTGAAATTTCTCCTGGCTTACGCACCACCTAGAAAATAGGACCACACCAAAAGGCACAGAACTGGAAAACACAGGAGTCAGAGGTGCACGACATTACCGGTTCACATTAGCCACAGAACTGGGATGTGGATAGCCGGCACGGGGGTCGGGGGCTCCCCCTTCCTCCTCCTGGGGAGGTGTGCAGACAGCAGCACTGTGACGTGGTAACGTCATGCTCGTTTTCATTTGGAGAGTTCTGTCCAGAAGTTTGACTCTCGGTAGTAATATTTTAACCAGAATAGGGGTTTGTTTTGGGGTGCTTACCTTTCTGGGTTCCTGACCCAATCGATGGCAGACATTGAATGGTTCCACTCACACAGGGGTTTCTATTAGCCATTGCTCTTCGTGCTTCTCTGAGGGAAGCCAGGTTCTGGCTCGTGGTCCCCGGTAGGCTTAGAACTCCATGTGCATTGACTGATGCTAGGGTCTAATACATTCTAATACAATCCTAATACAGGGGAGCCGGTCGGCCAAGCGGACAGCACACTGGACTTGTGATCCTGTGGTCCTGGGTTCGATCCCGGGCGCCGGCGAGAAACACTGGGCAGTTTCTTTCACCCTACGCCCCTGTTACCTAGCAGTAAAATAGGTACCTAGGTGTTAGTCAGCTGTCACGGGCTGCTTCCTGGGGGTGGAGGCCTGGTCGAGGACCGGGCCGCGGGGACACTAAAGCCCCGAGATCATCTCAAGATAACCTCAAGATATTCATACTAGCCGGATAGCTCCGAGGGAGCCTCCGGGTCTCACCCAGAAAATGGCGTTTCATTACATTCAACGCGGGTTTTTTAATGGTATAGAGCAAGTCAAAAAGCATCTTTTTTCTAGAACTTTAATAAAAATATACAAAAGCAAAATAATATTTTACCCACTTTTCTATCCTCGGAGAACAAAACCTAACAGAGGGTGGTGCAGTGAAAGGATTAACAATTAAGTATCATTATACTGTATTCATTAAGTACTTTCTTTGGAGTTATAAAGGATTGTTGACTCCTAATTCTTAAACTTCTTGGATCATAAACTACTCCTTCTTGTTCAGATAATAGTGCCCTCTAATGATTCAAGCATAAAAATATTTTTTATATATAACACAGTTTTATCACTGTAATCCATTCTGCAGTGTGTCGAGAAGAATGGTGAGAACTGGCAAAATGTAGAGGCGTGCATCCTCTCGGATAAAGGTAGCAGCATTCTGAAGCACATGGGTGACATGACCAATAGTCTCAAGCCCCGTGTCTCCTTCATCCCAACAATTACTATTGATAGGGTAAGTAATGCCTTGTATTAATATTCAGCCCAACCTCCTATTTAGGTAGTACTTACGTTGTAACAATGAGGACCATCACCGACCGATGATGGACCGATGATGACATTGGTGATGGTCCTCATCACCAATGAGGACCATCACTCGGCCGACTGGCTCCCCGGTCGGCCGAGCGGACAGCACGCTGGACTTGTGTTTACTAGTTGTGTTTTTACGGGGGTTGAGCTTTGCTCTTTCGGCCCGTCTCTCAACTGTCAATCAACTGTTTACTAACTATTACTATTTTTTTTTTTTTTTTTTTTTCCCACACCACACACACACACACCCCAGGAAGCGTGATCCTGTGGTCCTGGGTTTGATCCCAGGCGCCGGCGAGAAACAATAGGCAGAGTTTCTTTCACCCTATGCCCCTGTTACCTAGCAGTAAAATAGGTACCTGGGTGTTAGTCAGCTGTCACGGGCTGCTTCTTGGGGGTGGAGGCCTGGTCGAGGACCGGACCGCGGGGACATTAAAGCCCCGAAATCATCTCAAGATAACCTCAAGATAACCATTGTACAGTTTTGGTCATAAAATCCTTTCCATTTTGAATATATACATAGATTAGTAACGCTGCTGACTGGGTGTCCATGAATCATTATGAATTCCCTGGTTATAATCCATGGAATATGGACAGAATATGCTGAGAATGATAATGGATTATAAATAAGTACTGTATTTGAATAAGGTAGTAAACATTACGTTCCACAATACATCATGTTTACTAATACAGTGTATAATATTATATTTAGCTTACCGGAGGACATATGGCAAGAAGCTGTTTTTTGTGTATAATAGTAAATGACATCATTTTATGAATGAATGATAGTAAATGTTTCAAACATTTTCATTGGTCAAAGAATTCTTCTATTTCCTGGTTTATGCATTATTTGCCTTTGTCATTTGTTTTTGTTTCATTATGCATATATATACGGTGGAACCTTGGTTTACGAATTTAATCTGTTCCAAGAGACTGATCGTAATCGGAAAATTTGTACACTAAATCAAATTTTCCCATAGGAAATCGTATGGTGGGGGGGGGGGGGAATGCATGGGGCAATGCTATATGCCGCATTGTATAAGCATCTTGAAAACACTGTATACAGCACCTTGAGAACACTGTATACAGCACCTTGCAAACACTGTATACAGCACCTTGAGAACATTGTATACTGCACCATGTTTGCAAATTTCCGAGATACAAAAATCGGGAGGGAAATCAACATGGAAAAAGACTTGCTATCACTTAAATACGATGTAAATAAGGTTTTGAAATGGTCAGAAGATTGGTAGATGCAGTTTAATGCTGACAAATGTAAGGTTTTCAGGCTTGATAATGATAATGGTTACAAGATGCGAGGTAGATGGTGTTGAGATTGCGAAGTTGGATTGTGAAAAGGCTCTGTGAGATTAAAAGGCTCTGATTAGTAAGAATTTAAAACCAAAAAATTAATGCATAAATGTTTGTAATAAGGCAAATAGGACACTGGGTTTTATTTATCGAAGCATTAGTAACAAGACCTGGTGGTGGTGTTCAGCTATATTTTGCTCCTGTTTGGCCCCATTTAGATTATGCAACTCAGTTCTGGTCTCCATACTGTAGAATAGATATAAAATTACTAGAATGCATCCAACGTAGGATGACAAAGTTAATCCCGCAAATTAGAAACCTGTCATACGAAGATAGCAAAGCTTAAATTACATTCTCTAAAAAGGCAAAGAATTATGGGTGACATGATAGAGGTGTACAAGTGGATGAATGGGCATAACTAAGAAGATATTAATAGGATATTAAAAGTATCGACACAAAATAGAACACGAAACATTAGGTATAAATTTAATAAGTTAACATTATCATGCCCTGGGCATGCGCGCAGCCAATTTAGACGGCGCACGGTGACACTGAAATGTGTATACTCGTTTCAGTTTTCTCACCTTAATTTTAGTGCTACGTCGTTCATTTTGGTATCATTGTGTTCACAATTAAATTCCCTACAGGTGTATATCAATATAATGTACAAAAGCCTGGCGTGACTCCCAACAGCAGAGCCTAAATTCGGCAAAAGTTACCCGTGAGCGCACAAAATTGGTAAAATGTGCATACTCGTTTCAGTTTTCTCACCTTAATTCTTGTGCTGCGTCGTTCGTTTTGGTATCATTGTGTTCACAATTAAATTCCCTACAGGTGTATATCAATATAATGTACAAAAGCCTGGCGTGCCTCCCCCGCAGGAAAGCCTAAAGTTACCTGTAAACAAGCACCAATTTGTACACCGCAACCTAATGTGTATACTCGTTCAGTTTGATAACATAAATTTTCGTGTTACGTCTTTCATTTTTGTATCAAATTGTTTGCAATAAAAAGGCGCGTATTTTAAAACTAGTCCCATATAGGACTCAAGAGAAAAAAAGTGGACGTGATCGGTGTCCAAAGCGACCGATAGTGTTAAGATTTTCGAAAAACCTGGGTAAATACTGGTTCAGTAACAGGATTACTGATTTGTGGAACCAATTACCGCTTAACATAATGAAAGTAGGATCCCATTATTGTTTCAAGTGTAGGTTGGACATACATATGAATGAGATTAGGTTGATATAAATAGGAGCTGCCTTATATGGGCCAATAGGCCTTCTGCAGTTACCTTCATTCTTATGTTCTTATAAGAACATTGTATACACCACCTTGAGAACATTGTATACACCACCTTTAGAACATTGTATACACCACCTTTAGAACATTGTATACACCACCTTTAGAACATTGTATACACCACCTTTAGAACATTGTATACACCACCTTGAGAACATTGTATACACCACCTTGAGAACATTGTATACACCACCTTTAGAACATTGTATACACCACCTTTAGAACATAAAAAATGCAACATTCTAAATAAATATTTTACATCGGTATTCACTCTCGAAAGGTTGGATGACATCCCATCACCCACACAAATGTTTGGAGGAGAGGAGGAGAATGAATTTAGGGATATGCCCATAATATCCAAAATAATTAGAAAGAACATTGACAAACTAATCCTCAGGGAGGGAAATCATTCACCATCTTTCAGTGAACAGCTTTATGCAATTGACACAACATGAATTTGCTAAAAACAGATCCTGCCTTACAAATTTGCTCACATTTTTGGAAACGGTAAGCAGCTACTCGAACAAAGGCCTTCTGGTGGATGTAGTATACAGTGGTACCTTGGTTTACGAGTGCCCTAGATTATGATGTTTTTGGTATATGACGTCAAATTCCTCATAAAATTTGACTTAGTGTACAACGTTTGCCTTGGAATATGACATCTGTAGATACTAGGATGGATTGAGCAAGCACATGGTTTTGTTGGGTGAGTGTGAGGCACGCTCAGTTTACCAGTGTCTCCCACCTAGTGATGACCACGCTTGAATTCTTTGTAAAGAATTTCATTGTTTTTCTGCTTTTCTTGCTCCCTGCAGCTATCGGACTGATATGTGATATATTAGTCTAGGGCATTAGTCAATGGGGTTCAGCCTACCAGGGACCACGAGCCAGAATCTGGCCCTCTAAGAGGCAAGGGAGCAATGGCCTCTGGAAAACCCCCCCTGTGGTTGGGGGTATTCCTTATCTTCCATCGACTAGGGTTTGGCACCCAAAAAGGTAGGCATATCAAAACAAACCCCACTTGGTAAGAAAATTGCAACCGAAAACCGAACAGGGAGGCACAACTCCCTCCAACTCTCATTGAAACAAGCAATCGTCACATCACCGCTGCAGTGCCGCCCCCTCCGAAGCCGTAACTGCCAGAACTGTGCTGAATTTCAAAATATACCTGAAAAAGATAAATCATAAAGACAAATGGGGACCTTCGACAAGCTGCTGGCTTCCTGTCCTCGTTGAGTCCACTAGGGTTGGTGGCCCTCAGGTAAATATGCTCTAATTTGTCAGGAAATAGAATTACAATATCAAATATCATTAATTAAAAATATCAACAGTAAAGAACAGTTTTCGTCAGTAATATAATGCAAATATTACTTAATTGATAATATAAAAACAAAATGTGGTAATTCTTGAAACAACTTGGCACCTTGAAAAGCAGTATTGCAAAGTTTAACCCCTCCTCCCTCCCTTCCCTGTACTTTTGACAACTGCTGCACATAAATTGACGTAAAAGGCAATTAGAAAGTAGAAATTGGTACTGTACTATTGTATTTGGACAAACTTGAAAACGTTTTTCTGATGTTGCAAAGAAAACATAATCTAACCTGACTTTCTTAGGCCTAATAAATGTTATGAGGCCTAATATAGTACAAATTATGTGCAGTATATGCTATACTAGGCCTAAGAATATTTGGTTTTAGTTTTAGTTTTTTCGGTTGCTATAAAGTGAATACGGTAGTACCAAATACTGCTATCTAATTGTCCATTACGTTTATGTATGTACGATGGTCCTCATAGTTACAGAACAGTACTATCTAAACAGGAGGATGGTTGTAATATTTGTGGTGTGGTAAATAATCATAATTCCATTGGTAGTGTTGACTACCATTTATATCACCTTACCTGAGGTAAGTAATCATTTGTTCAAACTAATGCTTTGGTTATTACCTTAACCACTGAACTGTGCAACACACCTACAGGTGCTCGACAGGGGGTGTGCAACGCGCCTCCGGGATCTTATATTTTTAGTGTATGATTCAAAACTCTCGCGACTACATGGGGTTCACATCAGCTTCCTCAGGGCTCTTGTAAACAGATGCCATTTAAAAAAAAATCTACCAACATTCCCGGGTGTGAGAGCCTCAGTACTGAGTGAGCCTCAGTACTGAGTGAGCAACCAGGGCTGGCACACACAGCATGAGCTCACAGCACTTCTGTTCAGCTTGTGACCACAGCATTGCCTAATAATGTCAAAATATATATATACAGTAACTGGTATTATTTAGCCATGATAGTATTACAGAAGAGCCTGAGTGTGGT